GCCAGATGGTAATCCGCCAGCTCGCTCGCCTTGGCCTCCTTGGGCATGGCGAGCGGGAGGGACTCGGTGGGGTTGTGGAGGTGGTCGGCTCCTGGAGTGAGGAGGGGGTCAGCAAGCCCCCCTAGACCTCCACAGCTGGGGGACAATTCCACCAGGGTCCCCATTCCACCCCCCATTCCACCCCCCGACCCCAATGGGGTCTACAACACCTCCCAGCTCAACCCCAACCCAGCTCAACCCCACCGCACGCACCCAACTGGTGGCACCTTCCTGCCCGTGGCGTAGACGCCCCACTCCCATCAGCCTCACCCAAATTATCCCGTAGGGCGCTGGCCTCCAAGTGTTGGTCAAAATTCAGGTTGGGCACCAGCTTCAGCCTCATCCTTGAGTAGGTCTCGGCGCTCGACAGCTTCCAGCGCATTTCCGGCGGGTTCCTGGCGGGCGGGGTGGGATCAGGGACCCCGGGGGCCCACCCCAGCCCTGCACACCTCCCGGGGGTCACCCCCAGCCCTGTCACCCTTCCCTGGGGACCCACGGGGGACACTCACGGGTCGGCCCAGGCGGAGCGAGGCGAGGTGAGGAGGCGGCAGAGGGAGCGCCACTGCTTCAGCACGGTGCTGTGGTGGTGGTGGACCTGCTTCAGCACGTTGGCGTGCCGGGCGTTCTCCGCCTTGCAGCGCCTCGCCGCCGGCTCCAGCACCAGCTCCTGCCAGGGGAACCAGGGGGTGAGGTGACAGCAAGGCTGGGGCCTTGGGGGAACTTCCCCAGCTGAGGAGCACATCGGCGGGGGGGCGTCGGTCGCCACGGCGAGGAGAATGTCCCCAGGATGATGCATTTGGGGTTGAGGAGCACATCTCTGGGTTGACGTCCCCAGGATGATGTGCTTGGGTTGAGGAGCACAGCCCTAGAATGGTATCCCCGGGATGAAGAGCACATCCCTGGGATGATTTTGGTGGGATGAGGAGTACATCTCCAGAACAATGTCCCCAGGAGGAGGAGCACATCCCCAGGATGATGTCTCCAGGATGAGAAGCACAGCCCCAGGATGGTGTTCCCAGGATGATAAGCACAACCCTGGGATGATGTCCCTTGGATGAGGAGCACATCCCTTGGAGGACATCCCCAGGATGAGGAGCACATCCCCAGAACAATGTCCCCAGGAGGAGGAGCACATCCCCAGGATGATGTCTCCAGGATGAGAAGCACAGCCCCAGGATGATAAGCACAACCCTGGGATGATGTCCCTTGGATGAGGAGCACATCCCTTGGAGGACATCCCCAGGATGAGGAGCACATCCTGAGGACAATGTTCCCAGGATAAGGAGCACATTCCCTAGGATGATGTCCCAAGGATGATAAGCACAGCCCTAGGATGATGTCACTTGGATGAGGAGCACATCCCTTGGAGGACATCCCCAGGATAAGGAGCACATTCCCTAGGATGAAGAGCACATCCCCAGGTTTAATCCCCCCAGGGTGAGGAGCACGTCCCTAGGATGACATCCCCAGAGTGAGAAGCATATCCCCAGGATGATGCCCCTGGGGTGTGGAGCATGTACCCAGGACAAGGAGCACATCCCTGGAATAACATCCCTGCGATGATGAGAACATCCCTGGGATGTCCCCAGCATGAGAAACATCTCCCCAGAATGATGTCCCCAAGATGAGGAGCACATAAGGGGCACCTTAGGGCAAAGTCCCCAGAATGAGGAGGATCTCCCTAGGATGACATCCCCAGGAGGGAAAGCACGTCCCCAGGATTAATATCTCCAGGGTGAGGAGCACGTTCCTAGGGTGAGGATTGTGTCCCCAGGATGACATCCTGAAGTGCCCAGAGTTGGGGTTTGACACATGGGTGATTCCCTTCTCTGCAGAGACAATGGAGACTGAGCCAGCAGCCAGAAGCTGTTGAGGGAAAGGCCAGAGGAGCACCAAAACATCTCCGTTGGCTTTCACCCAGGAACTGGCCAATCATGAACGAAAGCCAATTGGGTGATCAACAGCAGGTGTCCTCCTTGTTCAGAGAACAAGATTTCAGCAGGCCCTGCTGGCAGAGGTAGGTGGGGAGTTCAGTTGCTGGTGGTTGCACCGGGCAGAGTTTCTGTAGGAAGGACCCTCTGACTATCTCTGAATGATCAAGGTAATATCTAAACATGCCCTCATGTGGTATCTCCCCCAGGATGTCCCCAGGATGAGGAGCACAT